CCTCCTGGCAAGAGCTAAGCCATATCATCTCATACCTTAGTTATGACTATACACCTGGCTTGATAACCTACAAGAGTAACACACTAAATGGATTAGCAATTATTGTGAAGACCTTGGGGAAGTGGGAAGTACGTGGTGAGAGGAGAGGCACTGAAGGAGAAATGGAACGGCTCCAGAGATAAATTTCATCGACCCGGCCAGGGTCTTGAGCACGGCACACAGCTGAGGTAGTGCGGCATAGCGAGCAGAGTGGGCGGGCTGCAGAATCATAGAAACTAGTTAATACCTGTGCCTGCCTGCCACATACTTAGCCATGAGACATTAGGTCAGTTACCTTGGCCCTCTGAACCTCAGTGTCCTTGTCTGCAAAACAAAAATAATACCATATGCCTCTTAGTGTAAGTCTGGTGATGAGATGAAATAATGCATGTTATTTCATTTCCCTGGAATTATAAATGTGCAAATACACCAGAAATGTTTAATAACAGTAATGCTTTGTATTTGCCAAGGTGAATGTCTCAGGCAATGAATTCTTTGGGAAATTACATCACAATAGAATTTTCAGAGATGAAGCTTCCTTGGAGATTATCTAGTGGCTTTTAAACTTCTTAAAGCTCAAAATGCTTCCTTCTAACAAAATTTATAAGAAGGTGTTATGTAAAACAGGTAAAACTAGAATTGCTATTTTTCAAAGTTAGGGGGGCGAGAAGTAGTACAGAGAAGGGGGCAATAGTTGTTCAGTGGAGGCACTTCCCAGAATCTTCTAGAAGAGGTTTCCTCAAAAATGTCTTCAAAGAGCAATGGAGTCCCCTGCCATTAATTAAGTGGCACCCAGTGACTTTTAGGCAGTTTCAGAAGGAAAAAAGAAAAAGTCTGTGAAACCGTTTGATCATACATATTTTGCAAATTTCAAGTGCAGGATGAATTTTGATTTTTACAAAAATTCTTTATAGCTAGCTCAAATCATCTGTTTAAAAATCCTGCCTTTGCTTTAGGAATTTGGGTAAGTCTACCTTGGCTAACATTCTGGAAATCGGGTGCAGTGTTTCCTCAGCTGAAGTATTTTCACATAATACGTATGTCCCTGCTTAGGACGGTTAACTTGTTTTTTGCATTAAACTACCAGTTCACAAACATGGATCAGTGACCTAAAAGTGGTTCACTGAAGCATAAAAGGAGTGATGAAAATACTAACGTAAATACTGCCATAAAGAACAATCTGTAAATGGAAATAATTAACAAGACTTGCGTGCAAATACAGATTATGAATCTAAATGTGCTGGGACAAGTGAATGTGTGAACGACACGCATTCTCACAAGCAGCAGCCCCTGCCAGGTATGATCCTCCTGGCTTCCAAATTCACAACCTCCTGTGACATGGGATAGGTTTTATTGGGAGAGGTCAAAGCTTCAAGGCCAGGATCGGCAAGAACAAAAAAGGAAGCCACTGTTGTTTCTCAAACACACCCCAGCATCTATGGAAAGGCTTGCCAGGGCCCAGGACCTGTTCTTTTGACTTTTTATAGCACAAATTTTAAATGAGTCTTGTCAACAGGGGGACTATACTACACAGTCTGCTTGACATTGGAAAGTTAAGATTTGAGGAACCAGCAATATACACAAGTTGTCTGAGACAGCCAGCTGTCCAAGACAGGGATAACACAGGTCCCATGGGTAGTTACAGTCTCCACTGTCTGCCATCAGTCCTGAGGGTAATTGGGTACAGCCTCTCCAGCTGGAGAAAGGGGTGGGCTGGGGTGCAGCCCTACCTAGATAATTGTGCAAGAAATCCACAAGAAGTAGCCAGGATCACTTACAGACAATACTGCTTGCTGCACAGCAACTAAGCAGTGGGCAATAACAACGGTGTTGAACAAGCCAGACATCTTCCTTATTAAATGTTTTGGAGTTAGTTTTTGCTGAAATCAGTCAAAGTCCCATCAGGAAGCAGAACAAATGTGGTAACTGAGGAGAGCTTATTAAAGGAACTGTTCACAAACAGGTGAGCAGCCATAAGTAAAATCAACAGCAGCAGGAGGAAGCCATTACCACCTCTAGGCCTGGAGGGGCGAGGGGAGGAATGGTTACCCAAACCCCAAGACGGCGCTAGCTGTGGAGGGGTCCGAAGCACAGAAGGTGGCCTTCAGGGCTTTTGGTGTAGGAATCCAGCTACTTCTAATCTGTAATCCTGCAGAGAGGGGACTGGGAGAATAAATACCCTGATCTCACTCTTCCACCTTCCAAACCCCTGGTGATGCTCCCATTGGCAAAACCCAACCACAAGTCAGAGGGCAAGGAATGTGGCAAAATCAGCTGATGAGGCCCATAAAGGTTGGCACGAGACCAAGCGGAGATGGGGAGAGAGTGGATATGAGGGGTGAGCGAAAGTGTCCACATACTAAGAAAGACAGGAACCAGTGGCAATTTTGGGGAGGTTGGCTTAGGAGAGCTAAGGAGATGAGAGACTGATTACAGAGCTGGAGTGGGTAAGGAGAGATGATAAGAGAGGGACTATTTTTTCAGTATTTTGATCAGGAAGGAAAGCAAAATGGCAAAAAACTATCTTAAAGAGATCTCTGTAGTTGGAAAAGATAGTATTGTCTGGTTTGGAAAAAGGACTTAAGTTTCATCTGAAGAGCAGAAGGATCCATTGTAAAGGGAGTGACTACAGAAAGAGGGACAAATATATGGACCCAAAATGGGAAAGGACAGAGTTTTGAAGACAAGTATTAGTGTTACATAAATATTCTCAAAATAGTATTATACCAACTGTTTTCTGGAAATCATTATCCCACCCTACAATAATTACTCACTCTTAGAATGTATACTATAGTATGTTTACTATATCATGTTCTAAGTGTGTTTTATTAAGGTAAGACTTCACAATGTTCTCACATATGACCTGAACAGACTATAGTACTTGGTTGAAATGAGAAGACCAGATTTAAGTATTAGGTAAAGGTTAAGAAAACTTTAAATACATTTCAAAATTAACTATTGGAATACGTTCTTTGCTAAAAATAAAATATGTAACCAGAGTGAAGGCAATTACAAACTAAATTGCTTTCAGTCTTTTTTCATTCTGCATCTATCAAGTTTCACGGATCTCAAGGCAAGAAACAATGCGCTGTCTAAATTCGATCACTAGAATGATGAGATCTCTCATTACCTTTTAGGGGCATACTGAATTGTTTCCTGCCTGATCTTCTTAAGATTATCATTATCTATCACTTAATAGATTGAAGACCTCAGGAATCACAGTGTTTGAACTACTAACATGTCATTAATCTCATTAATGGCATTATTTTGTTTATTGTTGAAGAGCCTCACCATATTTAAAATGAGTCAGAGACACAGGAACCACAAAGAATGGAGTAGAAATGTTTACCCACTCTAAGAATACAGTTAAAATCTGTCAGTATTCATTGCCAAATATTGCCACACTGGACTGTCGATATCCATTATAAAATTATCTAGCCCTTTCTTAAGCGTTTTCCTGATACTTAAAAGTATGCTTTATTTTAAACATCCAATACTTGGTTAAACTGGTAGAATTATGAAAATGCCCCTCTTCAAGAAAATCTGATTTTATTTATAAAGTGTTGTACTACTCACAGGTTTATGGACACATCAATTGGAAAACTTTCTTTAGAACAGGAACCTGAATTCAATTGATCAAGTAATATCAAGCTACCCCACATTTCAATGTGATGGGGTAAAAGTCAGTGGTCTTTTAAAATAATAACTGTGCCTGTAATCCCAGCACTTTGGGAGGCCGAGACGGGCGGATCACGAGGTCAGGAGATCGAGACCATCCTGGCTAACACGGTGAAACCCCGTCTCTACTAAAAAATACAAAAAAACTAGCCGGGCGAAGTGGCGGGTGCCTGTAGTCCCAGCTACTCGGGAGGCTGAGGCAGGAGAATGGCGTGAACCCAAGAGGAGGAGCTTGCAGTGAGCTGAGATCCGGCCACTGCACTCCAGCCTGGGTGACAGAGCAAGACTCCGTCTCAAAAAAAAATAAAAATAAAAATAACTGTGAACTAGACCCATATGCTTCCTTTTCTCTTCCAGTCCTAAAACAATAGACTAAGATAACAAATGGAATTTTGCAGGCTTTGGTTAGAGGCCTGTATCTTCAAAAGAGACCTAGGAAGGAAGACTTAAATGACTTCCCACGTAAGAAAGCATATCACCCACTGAGATTTGTCTTTCTTGTTGGCACCTATCTACAAAAGAAATGGGAGGCTAAAATCAGCTTCAACTTGTGCAAATTAAAAGTAACCTTCAGGCTAATGGGTTTTCAACACCACTTCTTACTGAGCAAAACATTTGTGTCCCATAAAATTAAATTACCTCCTCAAAACTGACTTCTCTAACAAATTACAACATTGAATTTTTTAAAGTAAAATTGTAATTCCTACAAAACAATTCCCCACTCCCTGAGGGAACCTTCCTATTACTGTTAGAATTGATTCCATTTTTAATGGAGTTTTGCATCTGGTTCTGGGGTGCAAAACCAAAAACAGGAGAAGAAAAACTAAAAACTGTCAAATAAATGGCAGCAAAATTAAAGGCCTGAAAAGTAAGCCAAACCTTTGAGATCACTGGAACTCCACGTTAGAGAAATAAATGCTTTACCATGGAATATGGTAGGGTCCCTACCTTGAAGAAGGTGACCAGCTATCTTCAATTTCTTTGGAGCCGTGATCAGAAGGAAGTAATGAAAAAAATTAAGCACTGTAATGACTTTCTAAGGTGGTGACTTTTGCATTAACTCCAGCAATCACTAAAAAGTGACTATATTTTCGCCAATTGAAGAAGTTTTAATATGGTCCTATTATGTCCTATATAATGGGGTCCTATATAATGGGGTTGCAAGTCATAAACGTATTGCTGCATGCATTCTTTGTACTGAGAACTAAACTAGCCCCTTCAGAAGTGAAAATATCAAGGGAAACAGTAAAACCCACTTGAAAAGATGGGCCATACAAGACTAGAGACGACTCAAAAACACAGGTTGACAGTACAAATTGTATAATTTGAACTATGAGACAATTTGAAGGCAAGGCACAGTTATAAGGTTATATAAAGCTAATGTGTTAAATTTGGTCTAAAAGACAATGGGCTAACATAAAGGAGAGGTTCATGATGAAATATTATCCTGGCAGCTGTGTACAAGATGGACTAACGTCAGGAGAAGCACAATATTAATACTAACACTAATAATATCAAACACAGACCACTACTAGGTGTCAAGGTTGATATAAGCATTTTCATATATATATTAACCTGTTAAATCCTCATAGCCATGTTTGAAGGCCAACACTGTTATTTCATTCAACAGATGAGGAAACTGAATCACTTAAATAATGTCTGATTTTTACAGGAAGTGTCCTGCATAGCAACCTCCATGCAGGTAAATATAAGCCAAGTACATTTCATTTTCAAAGCAGGAGTTGATCATCCAAAGAAGTCAAGAATACTCATGCTGCTATGTGATATTTCTTATTGTTTTTAAATGTTTTTGTTGTGGAACACTTCAAACATATACGAAAGTAGAAAGAATAGTACACTGACGGAACCCCTTCCATTCACATACCTAATCTAGATTCATCTACTATACCTTCACTCATTTCCTGTGCCCCTCCCTCATTATTTTGGAATAAATCACATATTTTACATCATTTCATCATCACTAAATTGTTAGGCATATATCTCTAAAAGATAAAGACATATTTTTCCTTCTAAACATGACCACAATACCACCATGATACTTTAGAATTTACAATGATTGCTTAGTATCAAACATCACTCAGTGGTTGAAGTTCTAATAATATATCTTACTTTAATACTTGTTGAAACTTGCAATGTGCTAGCATTAGGTACTTTGACATATATCATTTCATTTAAATTACTGCTACTTGAATTGCCTTTTCCCCACGTTCATTCCTACTAACTGGAACGACTGTCTCTTCAAGAGGATTCAGAGCCTTCGCAGCGGGCTGCTGTCGGCCTCCCTCCCGGCCTCCTGCTCCTCAGTGCGGTCCCCAGTCCTGTACTCGGCGGGAGGAGGCTCAGGCCCGGCGCCGCCTTCCGCTGGGATCTGTTCCCAGGCCCAGGGACTCCGGCCCCACCCCAGTTGCCTAGGTGACGAGGGGCCGCTTCTCTCGGCCGGCCGAGATCGCGGCGATGTCGCAGGGGACGACTCCCTGGGGGCCGACCCCAGCAGGGCCGACCCCGGCGGGAACAACGCCCGAATCGGAGGTACGCCACCCCTTTCCCTTCCCGGTCCCAGTGCCGCTACCAGAGACCTCTGAGCTCTCATTCCCCGTCCGCGGAGTCAGCGGCCGAGCCAAATCCGGTCTCTGAAAAGGCGCCGCACGTCCGGCCCCGGCTCGTGAGCGGCCCGGGAGGGCGGCGGGGCTGGGAGCTGCGCTGGGGTCCCGGACACCCTCTGCTGCCCGGCGCCCCCCAGCCGTCCGCGGCGCGCCGTGCACGGTGCCAGCGGGTCTAAATGTATGAATTCTTCCATTGGACGGCTCTTGCCCAAACGCCCTCATAACCACGCGCTTCTACCGCAGGTTTTGTTTTTTGTTTTTTGGGTGTTTTGTTTTGTTTTGTTTTGTTTTTTGTTTTTTGTTTTAATTCTAAGTAAAATAAGTGATCTCAGATTTTTAAATGGGTCAGTCTCTTTTTGAAATTGCTACTAATTCTGTAATGATTACAGTTGCGATTGCTCAAAAGATGTCATGAAATAATAGCTGTTTACTGGTGATGGACTGATTAATATTAGAAGGTTGGTGTTTCCATTATTTTGCCATTTTTTCTAAACAAATAAATACAGGTCAAAGGACACTAGCTGGAAAATCTTCTCTCGTTATGGCTTTAGTTGCTCATCAACTTGACTTTAAGGAATGTTATTTAATCTCCTTGGACACCAGCGGCCTCCTGTGTGACAAAAGGTTGATCTTTAGGCCCCTCCCGTCACCAGCTCTCCATAATAAATGGGTTTTAAGTAACTTTACTCATAAACTTAATATCCTGAGATTTTAAGAACACATCTGCCGTGCCAGATATTACAAACAAAACATGTTTAAATCTTTGCACACAGAGTCTATTATTATTGTTCCTGGGAAGTTGTTTTTCTTCCATCAAGGCTCTAAAGGTGAATAATCATGTCTTAATTAACATTGCTTGTCTTCATTATTCGTTGTTCTAAACAACATTCTTTGTGCAGAAGATAAGTGTTAGCTACAATTTTATAATGAGGAAACACAGAGAGCCAATAATTCCATGCCTTGCTCAGAGATATGTAAGCTGTTCCCAGCCGAGATTCCTACCAAAATCAAACGCAGACCGCCAAGGCATGCGGACTCTCATATGAGCCTTTTGAAATTAGCAGACATTAAAGTACATTTTAATGTGATAAACTGGTTACTAAGCCTATTACTCCCTTGTGATCGCTAATGTAAGTAATACAATTTCAAAAGTAGCACAGGAAATTTTCCAATTAAATTGTGTTATTTAAATATATACCAAGCTTAAGACAATGCACAATTGTCAGTGTACACATACACATGCTCACCCATGTAGATCATGTCCTTTCCAAAAAGACTGATCATTTGGGGTCTTAATGAATCTAGACTTTAAAAATTACATAATTTTTTAAAAGATGTAAAGAAGTGCTATGCTTCGGGAGAAAAGACATCATTTGATAATGGTTGAGTCAGATGAATGAGCTAGTTACAGGCCTTACATGATTATCTACCGTCTTAGGATTGTCAGCTTGCACATTTGTCAACTTCTTGGAGGGGCAGGTATTCTCATGACATGCAATTCAGGATGTGCTCAGTCACTTAGTAACAAACAGAAGAAATCAAGTTGAAACAGAGACTCAATTAGCAGTGCTCATTTACTAAGATAACACACTAATTCGCTGCTTGGTGGAAACTCCATTTTCCATTTTAATGAAAGCAGAGTTCCTGTAGTTCATGGGGAATATAGTTGATCCACAGAGCTGTGTCATTCGTTAAAACAAGTCCTGCCTGCCACCCATTTGTGCTGGTTGGGGGTGTCGTATGTTAGCTAGAAAAGATGGCAAGATTCTCTCTTGTGGTCTGTTCCCAAGGCCACCACTTTTTAGGTAAATACTGAAAGGTTCTTCTCAGATCAGATTATTTACAGTGTTGATCCCCCAACAGCTAATCACTTATGGTGTCATTTCTAATAAATTTTGTATCCAAAATGACTTAGCCAATAGCCCATGTAGTCGACTGAGCCAAACAGTACTGAATTAGTTCCTTTCTTGCCAAGTGCATCAGAAAGAAAGCATAAGCTTTCAGTAGTCCCATGTTTCCCATTTGTTGTTTGTGGCCAATATCTAGAATAGAAGTAATTATCCCAATCACATAGTAGGCGCTCAGTAAATTATGACTAATTAAAATCATGGATGGTCTGAGGCATGCTAGGAAAGGTGGTTATCATAGATTAAAATCTACTCTATGAGTTACTGTGAACAAGCATATATGAGGTGCAGATCCAGAGAACTAATTTTTTCTGTGGCATTGAATAAGTCCTGCTTGCCAGCCTTCTGAATTCAACATCCCGAGTTCTTTAGTAATACTGGAGGAAATGCCTCCCTTTACATGGTAAAACTAAACTTTTGGCAGATATCTGTATGAGTGCATAACAGAAAAAAATGACCAAAATCTGAAAATAAATGTTTGTTATGAATAGACCTGTAAGTGAAAGGAGTTTATAAATGTGCACTTGGAATTCAGTGATCAATCTTGTATTAATAAATTGTTCATATACTGACTTTCTTAATATCTTCAAAAATATCTAGGGAATAGAATCATAAGTAGTATACTTACAAGGAATATACTTCAACTTACATCAGAGACCTCAAAGAAAACACAAATGATTATTTCCCAATTGCTTTTTCTGAATAGTGTCTCTTGAAGTATGACCACATCACCCAATAGGTGACAATTAATGCATTCACGGCTTTATCAGGATAGGACACTTACATAATTTTGAGGGGAAAGATGATGTAACCTGTCTAGGAGATCATCAACATGTCCTGGAGCAGGCCATAGACAACTCTGTCTACATTGGGTGGTCCCTAAAGACTTTAGAAAACAGACCCCACTCCATCATTACAGAGAAAACTCAGGGCTCAACTGAGCAGCAAAAGTATCAGTTTCCTGCAACATCAGTGTCATTCAAGAAGTATTTCTTGAAATTATGAATAAGTCAATGTAAGTGAACACGTTGTGATCACATCGTACAGATCAACCTATGCAGGCTTATGGGGAAAATGCCAAAAACATCACTTAAAATATTGTTGAGAAAACAGTACTAATGGAACTCAAAATGGTGAGTAATGGTAGTTGTATTTATCAGGACACTTAGAACCTGTAGCCAAATCTGGCTGCAGCATGGAGATATTGACGAACACTTAGGCTTGTCATTCTTACTGTCGATCTTTGGGTTTACTGTCTTTATTAAGAAGTCCGGCTCCCTCCTCTCCTTTTTGTCTTCCTCCCTAGATGGCACAAATCATCTCAAAATTTTTTAATAATTTAAAGTTGTTATTCGTTACTATGAATTTGGCGTCTTTCGCAGAAAAAAAAAAAAAACAAACTTGTCTAGAATATTTTTATTAATTTGAACATAGGCATCTAATTTGTACTTTCCTTCTTAGAAGCTGAATTTACCGATTATGTCAGCTTCATGTTACTAAATAAACCTATCGCTGTCGTCTTCCTATTGAGAATAGACTGACTGGTTGGCTATCGACTATGGGTGATACAGTGATATATGATGAAATGCGACAAAATAGGGCCAAGCAGAACGAGAATAGGCAAATCCCAAAATGATGGCGGGTCATCATATTCGTACTTATATAATGTTACGTAATATCTATCAGTATAACTATAACTTACATTATATATAATTTGACTGATGACTTATTATATAATATAATTATATATTTAATATACATTTTTAGTCGGATAGTCAGTAGGATCAGTGAAATTATGCGTGAGGGTTATTTTATTATATACATTTATTATTTTTAAAAAATTTATAATCATACATATACACATGGTTATCTATATAAAATAATTTTGGATCCTCTATGCTTTCCACACCACATCGTTTGTCCATTAATGTGTCAATATTCATGTGTCGTTTTATATTATCTTTAAATCTATTTTGAAAGTTCACTCTATTTTTTTTGACAAGTATGTCTTCTCTCCATAGGAACTCAATATATAAAGTTTTTTGTAAAGTTTCCAGAATAATCTCATTGGGCTTGAGATGTCATTACATGTATATTTATAATGTTAGGAAGGACTTTAGTTCTTTGAGTTTGAAAGTTTTTAATAAATCTCTTTTATCAAGTCTTGTTCTTGAACTTTTGATAGTTTTATAATTTATATAGATACTTCTACCTTTCTCATTACTATTTTAGAACGTCAAGTTATAATTCAATTTCAAGATTTTTACATTCTGTTTCTTAATTAGTGCCTTTCTACATAGAGAATAACTGACTTTTATATATTTATGTTATATAGAACCATCTTGCCAAATTTTTTATTAGCAATAACTTTTTTGTTAGTACAACATCAGCTTTCTTAGGTATGCAACCTTGTAATCTTCAAATAAGGATTTCTAAATTTCCTCATTTCTGCTATTTAAGTTACATATTTAGTTTTCTTATTGTATTAGCTAGAACATCTATAGTGTATTGAATTACAATAATGTTAGCATCCATAACCTTTTTTTAGTTCCTTGTTTTCGTAAGAAGGACTTAGGATTTCACTATTCAATATGATGCTTGCAATATGATTTTGCCAAATAGTCTTTTTCATGTTTAGCATTTTTTTCTTTTCATATTTTACTGGGAGTTTTGCTGCTGAGTCTTAGTAAGTGCAAGTTTATTATGTATTTAAATAATCATAAAATTTGCACCACTTAATTTGACATAAAAATTATATTAGACCTGTTAATGATGATCCATCCTTGGATCTCTAAAATTAATCTTATTTGGTCATAGGTATATCTTGTAATTGTTTTAGTACATTTTAAGATTTGATTTTCTAAGATGTATTTTAATTATAATTTTTGCATCTGCATTGATATGTGATTTTGGTTTATAATTTCCTTTTTTGTTAGTTCAGGGTTTTGTGTGTAGACTATGCTGGCCTCTTAAAAATGAACTCTCTACAGTCTGTAAATATTAGGCTAACATAGAATTTATGTGTTCTTTGATTAATAAGTAAAACTACAAGTGTAAAACCATCTGGGCATGGTGACTTTTTAGAAAGCAGACTTCCAGTTTAGTTCATCTTTGATCAGATCAATTTTGTCATCTACCCCTGATCAATTTTGAGAACTTACATTTTCCCAGGAAACCACCCACTTTCTTAAAATTTTCTAATATATTGCCCCTGAATGTGACAAAATTTATATTATGTTTTAGTCACATTTGTCAAAAATTTGCCCATTTTATTAACTATTCTAAGGAATCAGCTCTTGCTTTTACTTATTCTTCTTTCACTTTTTTTAAATTGTTTTTTAAAATACTGGCTTTTTAGCTTCATACCAGGACTATGGTAAGGTGAATGAGGCACTCTCCTTGGGCACGGAATTGAAGGAAGTACCAAAATACTCAGTAATCAAGATAAGTTGTATTTTAATGCAATACTTTAAAACATCAAACCTAATGCCCCAGAAAAATCCCTGGTGGATTAAATTTTTCAGTAAAGACCAGATCTGTATTACTGACTTTTCCTTTCGCTTCAGCTCCAGTATGGCTTAGCACAGCACTGCTCCTGCTCCTTGGTTCATTTACTTTCAGGCTTGAAAACAACAACAACAACAACAACAACAAAAATACCTTCCAAGTCTAGAATTTGCAGACCAGTCTATGTCCTCTGTGACTAGGAAACTTCTCCTTAGTAATCCTTGGTGAAATCTGTTATCTTTCTTTTGATGAATACTTATTAAGAATCTTTTTAATATAAAGCACCACCAGTGATGGATACAAAGATGTCCCTAAAAGTTTACATTCTAGAAAGAAAAAATATATACAAATGTGAAAAGTTTAGTTGACATTAGAGAGGGGAAAAAATTAGAGAAAAACATTATCTGGCAGATAGTATCAGGCTTATAGTTTTATTGCTCTTGGAATAACTCCTAAAATCCACCAGGTGGTGGAGTAAAATGAATTAACAGTGCCATTTAACTTACATATTTTCCTAGTTGGAGATGTAATTTTACAGAGAAAGCCACAATTACATAGCACATATTTTAGCTTATTTATGAATTTTCTATTATATCTTTAATTTTTACAAAGCAGAATGTATGTGTTGAAAGATTAAACATTTTTAGCCATCTGATATCTTTCTCATGCAAGGCACTGTATAAACAAACAAGAAAGCAGTCTGGTTTAAAATAGGTCCAGGAATATAATTTAAAACAAAAGAAAAAACCCAGAGGCAAACTCCCCTAAAAGATGATTATATGAAGCCTGCAAATTTTAGTAAAGGAATGAGGCTCTAATAGGCATCTTAGCTAGAATTAGTACTGTCCAAAAGGTTAAGATTATTGGATTCTCTTTCATATAGTTCTTGTGTGACCTACTTTTCTCCTATCCAGAGATTTTTCAAATCAGATAAATTGATCTGAATGTCTGTATAATTCACTTTTCATGTATATCTTTATTCATTATTAATATGACAGTAATCTTGTGTGTATTAAAACACATAAAAATGATATTTAATATGAATTCAAATTTAGGTTCAAATGACTTGCCTTGAGTCATAAAATTAATCAGTAGTCAAACTATCATGAGATCTGGAGTTCCTCTAAGTCCTGCTTTTCATCATGCTCCACTATCTAACAATGTCATCAGATGATGAAGATGAATTTAGACAGTCAGTTAGCAACCTATGTTGACATATCAAGAACTGCGGAATTCTAAAAAGAAATGAAAGATTGAATGACTGTCCCTGAGGAATTTACAATCTAATGGGATTGACACCATAGGAATAATTATACTTTACCACTAATAAAAATGTGTATAACCAAAATCATTTAAACAAATATATAACCATATATTATAGATCAAAACAGTATCCTCAACAAAAACTGGGTGCATTTAATTCAATTTGTAAGTATCTGAGTACCTACTAGATGCAGCATACTAAAATACTTTTTCCTTAATGAGTTTATCATCTAATTATATGACCTAGTTTAGATTAATTGACCCACCCTAGCTTACAAAAAAAGTGGCTAATAATGTAGCATATTTTATTTCTAAATTAGATTTTCAAAGATAAAAACATAGCACAATAACCTAACATTAAATTACAAACATTAAGCCAATTACCATTACCAATAAGTGGTAGGTTTGATATTTTTCCACTCTTGAAAAAGAAAAAGAATTTGGTATGTTATCTGGTAAACTACAGCAAGGCAGGTTTTTTTTTTTTTTTTTTTTTTTTTTTTGCTGCCCTTATCTATCAGAATTCAGTTGCATGGAACACTCAATAACTATTTGCTGAACTGAGAAACATTTGCCCTCTTTCCCCACAAAGTCTCATAATTTTTTATTTTTGTGTAGCTGCTGCTGTCTTGCCTCTATTTCCCAATCTCTTCTTCCGTCTCCCCTTCACAGCGCTTCTCTACATGCCCTGGCTTTGAGCAGTCTCTTCCATTGTCACCGTTGCAGTTGACTCCTAAACCAACGTCTGTAAACTTGACCTTTATGACTCCAGCCTTTCTAACTAAACTCTAAACATTTCTTTCTCGCTATTGGTATTCCACCTTAAACTCAGCCACTGAAATCAACTCATCATCTTGCTATTTAAAAATTAGCATCATCTTCCAACACTCTATTTCTAGCATATAAAAAGGGTTGGCTGAGCGCGGTGGCTCACACCTATAATCCCAACGCTTTGGGAGGCTGAGGCGGGCGGATCACGAGTTCAGGAGATCGAGACCATCCTGGCTAACGCGGTGAAACCCGGTCTCTACTAAAAATACAAAAAAATTAGGCACACGTGGTAGCGGGTGCCTGTAGTCCCAGCTACTCGGGAGGCTGAGACAGGAGAATGGCGTGAACCCGGGAGGCGGAGCTTGCAGTGAGCCGAGATTGCGCCACTGCACTCCAGCCTAGGCAACACAGCGAGACTCCGTCTCAAAAAAAAAAAAAAAAAAAAGTTGACATGTACAGTTATGCAAGTTGTGCTCTGAACAAAAGCACTTGGCTGAGGGGTGAATGGGGTCTAAAACTAGACTCTATTCACAGGCAATATACTTGGACACAGGGCTGTGTCAGCCTTAGGGAAATCTTTTTAGCACTTCCTCCACCCAAAGAGGATACCTTTGTCTAACGCACATAAAGGTGGCGTATGTATTATTAGTATCACCACCATTTTCTCCAACTCACCTATTTCAGAAACTCAGAATCTCCATTCTTTCTCCCCTCTTTTAGGCCCCCATAACCTGACTACATTCACCACTTTCTTTTTCATCCACACTGCCAAGGAGATCAGAGCAGTGCAATGCTTCATCCCTGCACTGTTTAAATGACCTCTTTGTTTAACTCTTCCTCTGCTCCTGTCTTTCCTTCACCCTCCAGTAGATTACCCTTCCTTAAAGCACAGTTTTGTCTTGTCATTTACCTGCTCAGAACCTTCATGGTTCTGAGCGCTACTAGCTGTGTTACCAGAAACAAACTTCTCAGACTACCATTGTTCAACCAGCCAGGGTCTAAAATATCTATGATGCCTTCACAATGTCCTGTACTTTGTGAGCGCTCACTTGTTGAATCATTAAATTTAAGATCGCCCACCATACCTTTCCAATGCCCACTTCCACCTAAGTCCAACTAGTCCTCCTCATGTAACCTAGGTAATATTGTGAGTTGCTGATATTTACAGAACTCATTCCTAACTATCCTATCTTCATAACCTCGGTGTTGCTGGTTCATTCACATGGGGCATTCATTGGCCACACCCAACCCTCCAAAGCCTATTCCTGGAACTCCTCTCTGTGGAGTTTGCTTGTCTTTTGCCTATACTTGTCCTTTCTTTTAGACTGAATGCTGCATTTATTATGGCTTACTTGTGTTCTTTTCTTCTTTTAACATCATCCTAGGCTTGTTTCTCTCACTAGATGTTAAGCTTCTTGAGGTTAGCACATCTTTCTTGTTTATATTTGCCTCCTCATAAGCCCTAGATTCAATGAAGAATGTGCAGATAATAAATATTTGTTGAATTGGAAACCATCGCCCAGTTGTACATATGCCCCAAAGACAGATTGACTGTTAGCCATTTGACTTTTCAGGTAAAAAGTACCATTGCATAATATGGAAAAGAAAAAATGTCATCTCGAAGGTTGTTGTTTTTAAATGTTTGTCCTGACAACAACTAGACCATAAGAAGAACCAATTTTGATATTATTGGGTTTAATATATGAATGTACGATTGCAATAACTCACTCCGCATTGTGTTTTGGTAGAGAGACACTGAATTCCAGGAGCATGAAAAGATTCTGTCTCCAGATTTTCTTTCAGCTGAACAAATCACTGATTTGTTAACGGAGGACATCGATGGAGTTCAAGAGTAAGCACTTCACTATTACAATCATATGTAGAACAGTTCGAGTTTTGCATCTGTAAACCATTGTGATTACGTATTTAAGATTTCTTCAAAATATTTTTTATGATATTATGCGCTGAAATATATCTGGACTCTGAAACACAAAAATTCTCAAATAACTGACTTTTTGTACTACTCAACAGTCTCCTTTATAAAGAAAATGTATTGCAAACCAGCTTACTAATACTTACTAATACCAAGAGCAGAGGTTTGTTGATAAAAGCAAGCTCTAGCATATGCCATCTTCTTTTCTCTTTCATTCATACAACTGTCAGTATGCACATTAACTTAAAGGATGTTCTCCCTCGTTGTAAGAAAAGTAAGTTGTGTTTTCTGTAATGATAATGGCCAATACACTTTATTTTTTGGAAATCTTGAGTATTTGCCATCCACCTGTGATTTGCATCAGAAGTAATGCTATACTAAGTACTCTGATTGAGTACATGTTACTTGTTATACCTGATGTAAATGACGAGTTGATGGGTGCAGCACAGCAACATGGCACAAGTATACATATGTAACAAACCTGCACGTTATGCACATGTACCCTACAACTTAAAGTATAATAATAATAAATAAATTAAAAAAAAAATGTGAATACGATGGAATTTATAGTCGTTAATTCCAATATATGTACATCTCACTCTTTAGGCCATTTATTTCTATAGTAGATCATCTATTTAGAACTTTTGTCAGATCTATCCAACAACATAATATCCTAAAAGGTATTTTTAGTAATCACCCATTTAAAAAATGATCCTAATTTAGAATGGAAGCCTAATTGGCCATCATGTGTGGAGAGTGGGGATGATGTCATGCACTAGCATCCTGGTATCAGGTCTCTGCAGGCCAGTCCTTGGGACACAAGCAGGGTGTCGTGGACTATAACGGACAAATAGAAAATGGCTCTGTCAGTGGTTATCACTGACAAATCTTACAAATGTTATAGCATAAAGATGACTTGCTACTGAGAAGGGAATATGACAAATGTCCTGGCTGGAAGAAAAATCCGAGAAGGGAAGGTTTATCAAGAACGGGTGAATAATACTGACAGGGCTTTTCCCGAACTCTCAGCTCCAGCGCTGGCAACCTCTGCTGGAAATTGATGATCTGTGATCAGCCCATACCGCTACTCATCTGCATCTCCTAACAAGCATGAGTGAATTTAAATTTCACAGATTTTTGGGGGGAGGGAGGATTGCATTGGAAGTATAATTACCTATGAAGTAAATGAACGAGTGATGGGTTTGCAGCACCACAACATGGCACAGTTACTTGTAACCAACCCTGCGACCGTAATGCACATGTACCCTACAGCAACTTAAAAGTATAATATATAAATAAATTAAAAATTATAAAAATTAAAATAATAATAAATAAAAAATAAATTTCACAGATTTTTAAGCAAGTATCCTTCTGATGATTTTTACCAAATGTTTTATTAGAAATTACGATTTGTTAGGAATTCTGATTCTTTTTTTTTTTTTTTTTTTTTTGGAGTACGGAGTCTCGGCTTCTGTCACCGGGCTGGAGGTTGCAGTGGCAGGGATTCAGCTCACTGCAAGCTCCGCCTCCCGGGTTCACGAGACCATTCTCTGCCTCGCTCCTCAGCCTCCGAGTAGCCTGGGGACTACAGGCGTCCGCCACCGTCGCCCGGCTAGTTTGTTTGTATTTTTAGTAGAGACGGGTTTCCACCATTGTAACCAGGATGGTGCTCGATCTCCTGACCTCTTGATCCCCGTCTCGGCCTCCAAAGTGCTGGGATTACAGGCTTGGGCCACTCGCGCCCGGCCTAGGAATTCTGATTCTTAATGTAAGAATTGATCCATGATACCACTGATCATGTCTTTACGTAAAATGTTGTATTACTTTTCCAGGTAACCCCAAATGTTATTGATCATTGCAATGCAAAACAATAGGTATTTGATACTAGGCAAAATAGCACACTGCAAATAGCACACATTTTATACAGTTTGTAATGTATTTATATTAAATGTCAAGTAAAAGATATTATATTAAATACAATTAATATTAAATAAAAGATATTGCAAATAAGTGCTTTTTAGAATTATTTCTTCCCACGTTGTAAATTTTGCTATGTATCATACTTTGTGTGATGATTTTTTTTAAATTATAGGCTCTCTTTGTTGTTGAAAATCTAAATTCTGAACATATTTTTAATCTTTAGGGGGTAAGGCCTAGGATACAGTAAATGATACAGAAGGTGTTGCAGAAGTTAGTGGTATAACAACAGCCAGGTTCAATAGCAGGTTGACCTTTTTAGACTGTCTCATTAATGTAGAAATTACCTGAAGTGACCTCAAATTTTAAGACATCATCTTTGGATAAATAACGTCAGTATTATGTTAGGAGCCATTTCTTTGTAAAACAATTTTCTTGAGATTTTTTACATGATTTTTATAATAGTAATCCTGAAATATTTGCAATCTGTCACTCACTTTCAATTTAAAATAGCATTATTATAAATGGGGGTTATATGCTTTTCAAAATGACAGAAATATAGTTAAAATATCCTATCACCAAGTGACAGAAGTATGTGAAAATCATAGAGTCTACAAAGTTATAAGCCTATTTAAATAAGTTAGAAGAAATCAGCACATTTCCCTACCTCTTAAAATTAAAAATTGCTCTCCATGAAAGCAGCCAACCAAATGAAACATTAAAGTATCATTAAAACATATTTCTGAAATTCACTGTAAGCAGTTAAATGTCTGGGTACATCTCTCATGATCCCTTAGCTGCTATCCATCATAAATATTTTAATGTAACCTTGACTTTATTTATAGATCCATCTCAATCTTTTTAAAAAAGAATAAGGACTAAAATGAAAGTAACTATATAAACACAAAAATAACACTGAGACATCTTTAATAACCTTTCGGTAACTGGGCCTCCATGAGCTATTTAGCTCTTGCCTTGAGGCTTATTTCTGCATGTCATATTTAAGAATTAAAATGCACCCCATTGTCCAGAACATGCAAGAATAATGTAATATTTTTACCCAAATTCTCGGTGAGACAAAATAGACAGGTATATCACCCATCATCACTATACCAAACTTCCTAAAACACAGTGAATCATCTTTCTCTTTCCCTACATTCTCTCATGTTACAGCTGTAGCCATCTCTCCCTCTCCCCTGTTCCAGCTCCCCTTATTCCCAGAGAAAAAGTTTACGTATTTGCCAGTAAAATACTGGAAACTGTGCATTCAAACCGTAGCAGTATCTTGCTCCAAATGCCTCCCTACATAATCTTTGGAGTGAAATGACTGAGCAAAGAATGGAAATGATAAATCCTTAGCCCTGTGGTTCAAGTTAAAAGGGAAGAGACAAATGGTATTAGGGAAAGTGGTGGAGAGAGTGTCGGGGACAGCAAAAGTGAAGAAGGTCAAAGAGATTTCACCAAAATATTCTTTGGCAAGTAGTTACTGTCATTCAAACACTGCTAAACATTGAAAAGTAAAAATAAAAAGCAAAGAACATATGCAAATATTCAGGGCAAATACTTAATTAAAAATACATAGTGTGCAGATGGCAGATGATGAGTACACTTAGAAGGAAAACTAACTGCTAGAAACAGAAGAAAATGTTAGGTTGAAGCTAATAATTAAAAAGGACATCAGTTTCACAAAACAAGAGACCAAAAACTAAAAAACATGGTAAAATATATAGAGAAGTAGCTTTTAGAACTAAGGCAAGAAACTAAGGCTAAGAGTAAAACCAATGTAGAACTTACCTTGCTGAAAATCAAGTCAGTAACATGAAAGACAAATTTAAGAAAACTTACATAAAGTGTAGATTAAAGCAATTATTTGAAGAAGTTAGAATATACATTCAATATAGTCAATCAGAAAAAAATAATCTACACTTCATAAAAGCTTTGATTTTAATATTTTAGTAGAATAAAACTTCATGTATTGCCTTTTTGTGGGATAAATTTAAAGCAAGTCACCTAAAGAGGAAAATAACAGGCCTCAGACTTTTCCTTAGCAAGGTTAGTCTGCAAAAATCAGTGGTGCAACAAGTAACCAAAATTTAGGAAGTCAAAAGAGTATGATTGCAAAATAAAATACTAATTTTGTCTGATGTTTAGTTATAGGGGCAACAAGACAGTGCAATATTTAGAACAACTCAGAAAATACAGTATTCCTGTGGTCTTATTAAAAAATTTACTTCATAACCCAGCTGAAAGATAAATTGTGAATTTTAAACAACAAAACTGCCAATGAGAAATTGTGATATAAGAAGCCTGGTAGTAAGTACGGGTCATTTAAAATTAAAAAAAAAAAATCCAATATGATAATAATAGACTGAAATAGTTATTCTAGAACTTGTCAACAAAAATAGACAAGCACATGAGAAAAAAGGTAATTGAATTTCCTTTTCTCACCAAAATAAAACCGAATTGAAGCAGATGACCCCTATTTACAGTAATGCTATTTTAAATTGAAAGTGAGTGATTGCAAATACTTCAGGATTAGTGTTACAAAAATCATAAAATCATAAGAAAATTGCTTTAAGAAATGGCTCATAATAAAATGCTTTTAAAAACTTGTATCATAAATCTAAAGGGTTAATATCCCTAAGTATGCAAAACACTTTTATAAACTTATAAGAAAAAGTAACCAATAGAGGACATTAAAAAGAAATCCAATCTAGTAAATAAGCAAAGAAATACATAAGATTGTAATCTTTGGCCAGGCGTGGTGGTTTACGCCTGTAATCCCTGCACTTTGGTAGGCCTAGGCGGGCAGATCACGAGGTCAGGAGATCAAGACCATCCTGGCTAACATGGTGAAACCCCGTCTCTACTAAAGATACAAAAAAAAATTAGCTGGGCATGGTGGCAGGTGCCTGTAGTCCCAGCTACTCGGGAGGCTGAAGCTAAAGAATGGCGTGAACCCGGGAGGCAGAGCTTGCAGTGAGCCGATATCGCGCCACTGCACTCTGGCCTGGGTGACAGAGTGAGATTCTGTCTCCAAAAAAAATCAAAAAGTAATCTTTTCTATTAGATTAGATTAGTAAATTATGGACAAAATCCAAACTAGATTGGAGTATACAGAAGTGGACTTTTCTGTGTGGTCTTTATGAAAGACCTATTTGGCACTGCCTTTCTGGAGGGAGGGTTAGCAGCGTATCTCACCATGGCCAATATAATCCAGCAGTCCCAACTTTGGGAGTTTATTGCAAAAGATAATTGGAGTTTTGGAAAGATCTTAATTGATCATTTCTCTTTACTTTGGATTCTTAACCAATGGAGGACATCAAAGCCAATTTGGGAATACATACATCTGATCTATTATTAACTGTATTTAGACCTCTCTCCTACTGATAAGACTTAAGAATGTATGAAGGCTTCCTACTTCTCCTTCCTTACTGAATACTAATCCTTTTATGTTCATTACAATTTTTTTCCCCCGTCTGCAGCTTGTCCTTTCAATGTAGTTAGATTGTCTCTGGTTCTCCAGAAGTGTTTCATTTGTTTAACAAGGACCAACTTATTAGCCTTTTTCTTTATGGTTTGTATTTTGTGGTGTCACTTTTAAGAAATTTTGGCCTATCCAAATGTCAGTAATATATTTTTTTATTAAACGTTTGTAATTTTTGCTATTGCCATTTAAATCTTTAACCCACATGGATTTTATTTTAATGTATTGTATGGGATGGTATTTTATTTTATTTTCCATTTGGATAACCAATTCTCTCAGCACCGTTTTTGAAGAATTTATACTTCCTCTACTGATTTGAAATAATACCTCTGCCATATACCAGGCTCCCACATGTATTGGGTCTGTTTCTGGACTTTCTACATATTCCACTGGCCTACTTACCTATCTCATAACAATACCACAAGTTTTCACTATTGTGGAAGTTTTCATACTGACTTTCACTTAAGAGTAAATGATACTGTACATTAAACATTGAGAAATAAACCTTGCCAAGTAATGTCCAGTGCAAATTAAAGTTCCCTGGCTAATAGACTAAAACCCTGCGACCACCATCATCAGGATGTCTGTATCTGCCATTTGAATCGAATGCCTGAAAAAATGTATCAAAGTGCATAGTGACATGCAATATAAAAAACTGACCTTATTGACCTAAAAATTAAAAATATACAATGTTCACATATATACATATATGTACATATGTATGACATAACAGGAAATTCAGAGATAGATTAACTTCAAAGTTAATTGAGTCAACGTCTAAATAGTATCATCGAGAAATGAGGCTTAATCTTAGAACCCATTTTTCTTAGGGTTACAAGATAACTGGCAGTAGCAACTAAAGCCACTTATTTGCTCTTTTTTATTTTTATTCAACAGGAAAAAAAGAAACTTCATCTTCTGTTATGAATTATTTAGAATAATTTAGGAGCGTGCCCATCATAGAACAACAATTATTATTGAGACATGCCATATACCAAATGGCATTAAGGCAAGGGGTGAAATTACCATGATTAGCTTAGAATAATCAGAACTCGCTTTTGGGTTTGAGGTCTACCCTGATAACCACTGTAGATGAAATGGATGTTGAAGAAATAGACCCATATCAACATCAGCTTTATTTGTTCCCAAACTTGTTTAATCTTGCTGTATTTATTAATCTGATTATATCATTTATTTTGATGTTAAGAATAATAAGGACTTCCATTTTTGAAGACGGCAGTAAAAAGTTGTCACACACGTATTACCCCTCTCAAAATCACATAAAAACAACAAGGAAATACCACCTTCATCTTTGTCAAAACCAAGAGAATGCTAATGGTCCAAACCACAAAATATAAAGATAATGGCTACTGTCATTATAGATCAACCAGAAGTGCAGGAGAAAATATAAGGAAGGATGCTCATAGTCACAGAGCTTAGAATGAGCTAATATCTATATATCTATATCTATATCTATATCTATATCTATCTACCTATCTATCTGCTAATCTCCCAGGAGGAGAAACCCTAAAGTACCATTCCAGGAACGCTTATCTGCAATAGCAGGACCAGGGTGTGCAGGCTTGGAGCAGATTCTTTCTGTAGCACAGGAAATTGACTGTTTATATGATAATCAAGAGAGCCTATCTGTTCTTTTCTTTCTTTTTCCTTATCAATTAAAAAAAAAACAAGTGCTAGAATAATTGACACAAAGTTACTTCATACAGAAAATGCCTACTAGCTTGTAACTTGGCCAGGTCTCCACCTCCAGTGTACTTCCCAAAAGTAGGTATTCAAGGACAAAAACTCACTTCATCCAAAGATAAGGTGTAAACAAAGAATATGCATTCCAGGACACTGGAAGAAAAAATAGAAGAGGAACAGGAAAGAGAAATAGCAAATCAAACATACCAGAAAGATACAACCATGAGCAGACAAAAAAGATAATCAACTATTTTATCATGAATTTTAAAACATATGAAGCAATTACAAAAAGCATACAACAGAGATATAAAAGTTCAAGGAAGAGATAAAGAAATAAAAGATTATAAAACTTGTTTTTAAGAAAGAGTAGAAAAGGAAAGATCTTGCAGAATTTGGGGGGAAATTTAGAGCCACCCACAGAAGAAGTAACACTGCTGAAAACACACTAAGACACACAGAAGACGGTAATGAGAAAAGTATGCAAAATGAAAACAAAATAGACTTGAAAAATTTTTAAGGTTGAGGAGAAAATTATAACTCTAGAAAAAAATGACTAAAATATACATAATTGGAATTCTTTTTAAAATATAGCAGAATGAACTGGGTGCAGTGGTTTACGCCTGTAATCCCAGCACTTTGAAAGGCTAAGGTGGGCAGATCACTTGAGATCAGGAGTTCGAGACCAGTCTTGCCAACATGGTGAAACCCCCTCTCTACTAAAAATACAAAAAAATTAGTCGGACGCAGTGGTGGGCACCTGTAATTCCAGTTACTCTGGAGGCGGAGGCAGGAGAATCGCTTGGACTGGAGAGGCAGCAGTTGCAGTGAGCCAAGATCACACAACTGCGCTCAGCCTGGCCGATGGAGCAAGGCCCTGCCTTAAAAAAAAAAAAAAAAAAAAAAGTGTGTGTATGTATATGTGTGTGTGTATATATATGTATATATATCATAATATTTAACAATTTAGTTCCAGAACATTTTCAGAAATAAAAGAAACTTAATTTTATAAATGCAAAAAGACATTGAATTTCAGAGAAAAAAATACTAGTAAAATTGCTATACATACACAAGGAAGAAAGAAAGGGAAGGGGGAAGACTGAGGAGAACCAGAAAATAAAGAGGAAGAGGAGGCAGGAGACCAAAAATAGAGTTTGCTCCCCCCCTCCTCGTTCTGTCTCTCTCTATTTCTTTTTTGAATGTCATTTTGGTGTTATGAAGTTTGATGTAACTGAATATTTTCAGATTATGGGCATTATAGAATTTTCATTAAAGAAAAAGACCTGTTTTCAAAACTTAGGAAAAGAAATGGTTCTATATCTAATCTGACTTAATGTGTGGATTTTTCTTTTATTTTACAGAAAACTGGGAACATTTTTGAATTTCAAAAACCTTGAAACTTGTTTAAAGGATGCTATTCTACTAGATTATTATGTATCTGGATTTTTGTGGGCTAGAGGAATGGATTTTTCTATTATTCAGTATTCAAAATTTATGACTTTACTAGCTATGTTACTTCAAAATCTTAAAAGTAAGTACATTATTTTTCTTTTTTTAAGTAAAACAAATTCAGTTTACCATCTAAATTGAGGTTATTAAGCAAAAGTTACAGATTTTATTGTAATTTCTTTAATGAAAAATAAGGGTTTTTCCTGAGTATAGCAAATATATAGTTCATATCTCCATTGAGTTATAAAACCTCAAGTAATACTTAACAAAGGTTACAGTTTTCTTAATAGTCAATTTGCCAAAGATATGTTAACTTCATTTTAAAGTTGTATCAGTGTCATTCACCCTCTAAATATCTGAGGACTCTGTGATATTCTTGTAACCTTTCCGTAAATTTAAAACTACACTGAAATTAAAAGTTTATCAGTAATGGTTAGCCATCTCTAGAATAGAATACTAGGAAGCTATAAAAAGGAAAAAATGAAGAAGCTTTCTGTGTACTATATGGGAAGCAATATATAGTTATTAAGTAAAGCAAGGTGCAGAACTACATGCTTTCATTTATAAAAGAGGCAAAAACAAGAATCTATCCATATTTTTATTTGTGTGTACACAAAGAAATGCTGGAAGATACAGAAAAAAACTAATAATAGATATTCCCTGGGGTGAATGGTAGTAAGAACCGGGCAACAGATATTGGAGGAAGTCTTTTCATAAGATTTCTTCGTTTGTATTTTTGAAATATGAATACATCACTTACGCAAAAATTAAATTTTAAAAGAGAATATGTAACATGGACAGTCCTAAGTTTTGGCAACTTCTGAGCTGAGTACTCATACACTAGAAATAGAATAAAGGAAAGTAAAAATTTTCATGGACCTCACATCCCAAATTTGAGAACATATTTCTTTTTTAACCTTTTCCCGTAACTTATAACTGACTCAATAACATTTTTTTCTAGATGAAACTTTATATTGTTGATATTACTGCAAAAATGAATTTCTAAAACCTGAGCAGGATCCCTCCAGCTCCTCATAAACCATGAGAAAGAAAGTACCTATGTAGAACCTAACCAGAAAAAAAGCAAGGAATCTAGTTTCACCTTCTGGCAGAAAAAAAAAAAAAAAAAAAAAAACCCAAAAATCCCTCCACACTTTTAAACTGAACAAAGTTATAGTCATCATTAGGAAAGAATGTAATTTTAGCCAAATGTGCCAAGGAAAAAGGTAAAGTATGTTTACACTTCAACTAGGTAGCAGTAGAGTCCTGAGCACATAGCCACCACTCCCATTCAGCAACGTCATAATAGAAAAAGCCCAAAAGCGCACACTCTGGGCCTCTGGCAGGGGTGTACTCTGTCCAGTGTGGGAATTCCATTTCATGCTAGCTCAGTCTCTGATCGATCCTTGTCTCAAATTTGGCTGCATATCTACCAGGCATTCTACAGTCAACCCATCTGGAATCAAATTAGATCAAGCTAACAAATATGGGACACAGAATTTGGAGACTCGTCTTAACAGTATATATTGTGAGGTCTGGTTTTTCTAGGACCTGACCGAACATAAGCTGTAGAGCAAGTGTATCCAACCCATGGCCCGCAAGCTGCATGTGGCCCAGGACGGCTTTGAATGCGGCCCAACACACGTTCGTAAAGTGTCTTAAAACATTACGGGATTTCCCTTGTGATTTTTTTTATGCTCATCAGCTATTGTTAGTGCTAATGCATTTTATGTGTGGCCCAGGGCGATTCTTCTTCTTCCAGTGTGGCCCAGGGAACCTAAAAGATTCGACGTTCCCACTGTAAAGTATTGGATAGACTGGATATTGGGCCTCCAGCCAGGTCCATAGGCCTAGATGGACTCCCCTCTGTATGATGTGAATGTTTGCAAGTAACTGTAGAATATTTTTTAGTTCTTATGATGCTAAATTGGTTTTCCCCTCAATAGGAACGGCAAATTGAGGTAACATTTATGTAGATTAACTTGTGCCAGTCACAGTGTCGATTGCTTTAAAAATATTGTCTTATTTAATTCACATGCCACCTTATGAGAGAAATTGGTAAGAGTCAGAGGGGTTCAGTGACTCCTTAAGGTCACACAGGGTCTACACTAGCAAGTGAGGGCCCATCCTCTTAAATACTACATCAAATGTGCTGGCTTCGGGCTAAATCTAGAAAGCACTAGACACATGTAATAGTACCAGGAGTTCCATATGAACTTTTTTTTGTTGAGACAGAATCTAGCTCTGTCGCCTGGCCGGGCTGGAGTGCAGTGGCATGATCTTTGCTCGCTGCAACCTCTGCCTCCTGGGTTCAAGCAATTCTCCTGCCTCAGCCTCCCAAGTAGCTGGGATTACAGGCACGCGCTACCACGCCCAGCTAATTTTTGTATTTTTAGTAGAGACGGGGTTTCACCATGTTGGCCTGGCTGGTCTCGAACTGAGCTCAGGTGATCTGCCCACTTTGGCCTCCCAAAGTGCTAGGATTACAGGCGTTAGCCACTGTGCCCGGCCATGAATTTCTTGTTTAATCCTCACAACGGCACTATAATTTTGAAAACAGGTATTGCAGTATTCTCATTTTACATAGAAAGGAAATGAGGCCAGATGTAGTGGCTCATGCCTGTAATCCCAGCACTTTAGGAGGCCAAGGCAAGAGAAGCATTTGAGGCCAGGAGTCCAAGACCAGCCTGAGCAACATGGAGAAACCCCATATCTACAAAAAGACTGAAAAATTAACCGGGTATGGTGGCCCACATCTGTGGTCTCAGCTACTTGGGATGCTGAAGTGGGAGAATCGCTTGAGCTCAGGAGGCTGAGGCTGCAGTGACCCATGATTGCATCATTGCATTCCAGTCTGGGCAACACAGCAAGACCCTGTCTCCAAAAATAAATAAATAAATAAAAAGAGACTCAGGTCACCTAACTACTAACAGTAAAGGTCAGTTATGAGGTATCATCCTACATTTTCCAATTAATTTTAAGTCTGGTATGTTCTTTCATTACTCTAAATTTTCAAGAATACATTTTGTTTCTAGAAGCTTTTGCTATTTGAGTGGTTTAATCTTTTATATTTTAATCACATCACTAAATGTGATTTTTAAAAGAGCAAATATTTCAGTTCGATAAATGAAATCATAACTTCCCTAATTTTTAAAGCAATTATCTACAGAAAGACATTAGACATAGAAAAACAGTTTTAAAGATTCAACTATTTTCAGAAGGAAATAGTCATATAAATTATTTTTGTTTGATAAGTATAATTTCATCTAGAATTATAATCAATTATCTAAGAATTTCTCTTTTCTCTGCATCTCTAATTAATATCATTTTATTAATAAAATGATTCAGATTTTCCATTTATTTATGAATTGCTTTTATCCAACAGATTTTTCATTTCTGAAGCTACTTCCACTATTATCAAAAGAAGTTTATCATGGAGAGAGAAATGTACAATAATAATTGAATTCCACTTAGAATGATATAGGAAAACCTAGTTATCCAGAAATAATTCACTGTATCTGACATACATAAAAGATGATCTGGAGGGAGGCAATGGGAAATGAACCAATTGTAATTCATTAAACCAGATTTTAATTGTTGTATATAGTTTTTATGCTTCTTTCTAATTCCTGTAAGTAGAAAAGAAGCTATACTAAACAAATTACAAGTTCGTGTTTATAGTGTCTTCCTAATATTTTAAATTACTTTCCTTTCACCTTATTAGTAATTTTGGTATTTAGGGTAGAGCACTTACACCCCAGTGGGAAAGAGCAGCTGTTTAATCCAGAAATACCTGGTCCAGCCATCAGCCTATGTTCTCGTAACTTCTTTTAATCTCCACCCCCTCCCTTCCAAATCAACTCCATTACAACAAGTGTAATGTAGACTGATGACTTCAGAGATAGAGACAGGGATCTGGTTGGTGGGGTCCACACTGAGCAGCACAATTCCCGCAGATCCCACATTCAGGCTCCCCACTGACATTCACCTCCCCCAGGCGGCCAGTCCAGCCTGGCTTTAGTGTCTTTCTACTCTCCACCTCCAGCATCCTCGGTTTTATGTCCACATACCCATCGCTTTTCCGCAAACATAGGACAATCTGGCCAGTCCACTTGCCTGACTCCATCTTCCCGGGGAAGGGTGGATAGTGTGTGTGTGGGTTGTAAATAATATTTTATCTGTCACAAGTAACACTGAGCATAACGGAACCAAATGAGAAAAGAAAATGGAAGTTTATGTTTTTATTACAGACACTTTAAAAGTTAAGTCTAAGGTGTTCTTTTTCAACTGGACAGATGCCACACAAGACAGTTTCGGGTGTGTGTTTGCGCTGGTGTGTAGCTGTGAGAGAATAGACGAGAATCGCTGAGCTGTTTACTTCTGGTGGTGGTGGCCAGGTTGTGTCACTCTGTGCATTTTCATCCGGCTCTCACCAGCACCACAGGGCAGACATTTGAGAAACAGCTTACGTGAGTTATAAGTCTGTGGCTGTGGAAAAGGAAAAAAAAAAAAAACTTGATGTTTTACATAAAAATTCCTATTTCTGACTTCCATTGAAAATCTTCAGACCCAGATTTACACATGGAAACAATTGGCTAAAGCCCGGTGTTGATTGACTCCATTCATTTACATTTTCAGCTCTAAGTTCAGTTCTGCTGTCTAGTAACTGAACCTCCCATCTAAGTCTTCCATTCCTCACCAGCTGTCAAACATCTTTTTTTGTAGTTTTCATGCTTTTATTCTAAGATTGTAGAAAAAAGAAAAACAAACCCTTTTCATTTTAAAGATTTTAAAGTACAATTTGAACTTTTTTCTTTTTTTTATCCTAACATGGAATCATAAATTCTACAGACAATTGTGTAGCATGATAGTAATTCACAAATGTTGGGGCGGGGTCAGTTGCTATTCCTGAGACAGAGTCTCACTCTGTCACCCATGCTGGAGTGCTGTGGCACCATCCCAGTTCACTGCAACCTCTGCCGCCCAGGCTCAAGCCATCCTCCCACCTCAGCCCCCCAAGTAGCTGGGACCACAGGCATGTGCCACCGTGCCTGGCTAATTTTTGGAATTTTTGAAGAGACAGGATTTCGCCATGTTGCCCTGGCTGGACTCGAACTCATGGGCTCAAGTGATCCACCTACCTTGGCCTCCCAAAGTGCTGGGATTACAGACTTGAGCCACCGTGTCCAGCCAGCTGCTATTCTTCTGCATAAAATGTATTAATGTATTAAGAAGAAACAAGAGTTTTACCATTTATCCTCACAAATACTTAACAAAGTAAATTTTGGCACATTAAAAACATCTTAGATTATCTTATTCTGAAAACATCCATCAAAATAATACTTAAGATCTCTCTGGATTTTATTTCAGCACTACATATGTCCTTAGAGGACAGCATAAAATGGCTTGGAGAAGTTATGGCTGAAATAGGACCAACACATTCACAAAAAAGTGAGGACTGGAATATCTTTGATGTAAAACAAGCCAATGCTATCATTGATTACTTAAAAATCAGGTATGGATTATTTTCAGTAATATTTATTTTTCATTTCACATCTTCTGGAAAATGTCTGTTAAGTAAAAAGTAATTCAGTTTTTGGCAAATTCAGATATTTACAGAATTTATGCTGTAATTAGCCCAACCAATAATTAGGTAATTAAATCTTCTTTAAATTAGATGTTCAAATCTTTCATCTAATAACTAAAAGTCAGAACAGTGAATAGTTTGGCTAACTTTGCATTCCCAGAAAAAAAGATTTGCGTTTGATAAATATAATTTCATCTAGAATTAAAATAAATTTAAGATTTCCATTTTCTTTGCATCTCTAATTAATATTTATTAATAGGATGATTCAGATTAATCAGATGCAATTACAATAGACTCTATATTTTAGGTAGTTGATCTTTCCAACTACCTGATTCTACACTTTGAAGAGCAACATTCATTGCTATTTAAATATTTGTTTTGAATGCTTCGTATTAGAAATTGAAGAGATTTATGAATATACTTCCTCAAATTTATTACATCCCCTGAAATATCTTGTAATATTGACCAATTAAACTCATTAAGTCTTTCTTACTGCTTAGAAAATGATGGAAGGAAAAGTATTTTTATTACAGTGATTCTTCATTGGTGAACTAAGAAATTTGTCTTTTTATATAATCTATCACAAGGTCTCCAGTAGAGTCATTCATCTCTCTAAAGGGACATTTTTAGAGTTTGCAAATATTCAAACAAGAGTAGGTTAAAATCTTTTGTCAAGCTGAAAGCTTCTGCATAATATTTTTGTTTCTCTTATACTATATACTCCAGTGTTTTTCAACTTTAAAATTTAAAATTCTAAAATAAGAGTGCTGACTGATATCCTAGACATGCTCATGATTTGCTTGGCAAGGATTCTAGCTGAAATCTAGAAAGCTTTTTAAATACTAGCGTGTTTAATATGATAAAGTTTATATATTGGTTTCTGGCATGAATTAATAATGTCATATGATATAATATGGTTTTTACGTAATAGCATTTGATATAATGTGGTTTCTTAATATTAAAACATAGCTCCTAAGGGGTATCTCTCAGTAAAAGCCGAAGTAGTTTTCATATCAATTAAAGTAAGGCAAGGTCCTTGTGTTGGGAGAGATGATGGCAATCCAGAATTGGAGGAGAGCCTATTCCTAAAGGTCTTTCTACCCGTCAGGGTTTGGGAATCACTGGGCAAGAGGAATTCTACTTTGCACATTGTGTTAGCATCCTTCTTTTCCTTCTCTATTTGAACAATCCCAGTTTCTCTTGCAGAACACATTTTTAAAACTGAGCTAGCCCAGGAAGTTTCTAATGGGCACAGGGACTGATAGTTAACCAGGGCCACAAAACCCATGCCATAATGACCCCTTCTAGAAGGTAAAGGATGGCAGCTCTTTTCCCCTTCATCTTGTCTCTCTGGGCAAATGTTCATTGACATATTTCTTGACATTGTCCTTCAGAAAACAATTAAGTTAAGAGAGGATGTCACCTTTAGATCCTAACCAGGGTAATTTCGCATATTATAAATCCCTAATATTATTACTTCACTAAAAATAAAACGAAAAGTAGTATTTAAGAAATTAGTCAAAGTAAATCACAACAATTGTTGATGCTGTTAAGTCTTCATATTGTTATTTCAAAGAAGTTATGCAATTTAAATATCCCTATTACAGAACTACAAAATATCAGTTAGTAGGATGTCTGGAATTGATTCTGAAGTTGTGTAAAAGAAAATATGCTTTTCTACAACACCTGTTGAGAATCCCTCAAAAGTCCACAAATGAGAGTTTAGGGGGGACTGGGAGGAGGGGCAGCATCAAGAAGAATAACTAATAGATGCTGGGCTTGATACCTAAGTGATAGGTTGATCTCTGCAGCAAACCACCATGGCACCCATTTAAACGTACACATCCTGCACATGTACCCTCAAAGTGAAAAGTTGAAGGAAAAAAACAGTTTAATAACAACGAAATCATATAATATTTTTCATTTTGATTACTACAAAGCTATGTTATAAATATGAAGGCAACCCAGTTATCAAAAGTATAAGTGTTTGAATTTAACCCGATACTAAGTTTACCCAACCACTAAAAGCCCTAGTCAATTGAGGTAGAGCAGTTTTTAGAACATGACCTATAGCACATGAAACTTAACTGACAATAAAATTGAAATTTCATTTGATGCCCTTAACACACTCTGTCATGTGTCTGTGATTTGAAAAAAACTAATACCAAATTTCCTCCCCTACATGACTGTAAGTACTGGCAAATCTAGCTGTACAAATCTAGTTTTACATTTGTACAATGTATTGTATAATGTATACAAATATAAATACTTCTGCAGCTTTTTAGTATAAAACATCATTTACATATATATGGCCCAAGTACACGTCTGTCATTGTGGATTCTACCTATTTATGGGAATTAGGCGATAGTAATCTCAGGTGTACACTCAATATAAGAGGCAGGTACCCAAAATAAGAAAATCAACCCTGCCGCTCTGTAAACCACAGGGTATTGCACTTCCAGGCATCGAGCCAGACATCTTGAATTATTTTCACTTCATCTCTCTTCAATTTAGAACTAAGACTAAATGTTTGACAAAATAATCTAGGAGGTTGAGTCAGTCAGAAGAGGAAGAAAATGCATTATCGGAGTTGAAGTATCACTTTGTTCCCATACAGCACTACCTAATCGCTCCTGGTAAATCTGGACAAGTCCCGGCCTTGCCCCCAAGTCTGCACCTTTGACCACCACATCCAAATCATGCATTTTATTTTCAGTGTTAAGAAGTGAATTTCCCTCTTGGCATGGGACAACCTAATTCCTATATGCAGTGAAAAGAATAAGGCTGAAAGATTATGAAATTTCAGGAAGGAAGATCTATGAACTAAATTCTTTGTGTGACACAAGATAGAAAAAGGGAAATTTTATGCTGGTTCACTGAGAGGAAGCCAAGCTGTTTCCAAAATCCTCTATAGTCTTAATTTTTCTACTTAAAATCGGTTGTTGCCAGTGTAATATTTTTGACCTTAAGGCTTTCTCTAGATAACCAGTGTAAGTTAGGGAGAGTTTGAATTTATTTTGTGTCATTGAATTATCAGACTTCACTAATCTTGATGTATTTTTCTAGCCAACAAATCAAAGTAATGTCAAAAGCTAAGTTACTTTTCTGAATATTGATGAGTAATTTGAATGTACAAGAGGTTTTTTTCCCCCAAAAATACCATGACAGAGTCTGCACACCCATCACTTTTTAATGGATTGTGTTACTAGTGAGATCAACTGCTAATATAACTCAGAGAGACTCAGCTGCCTGAGGATTTCTTCATTGATTTCAAATGAATTGAAACTTTGATCCATTACAACATCCAGGAGAAGCCATTATTATACATGCTCTGTAGCTACATTTTGCAAATGTTAATTTCTCAGTTATATTAAAATCAATTTCCTTAAATAGCAAAAGGCACCAGAGTGAGAGAGAAACCACTAAGACAATTTTTTGTTCTTGGGCATTTTGCTGTATTATGAGTCTATTAATTTTCTCAACCAGCAGGAAGAGAACTAGAAAAATTCAAATATTATCACAAACAGGATATTAGAAGTCAGCCCTTCAGTAAATTTTTAACTCTTAATAATGCATTGCTCCTTAAACTTACTAGAATACTTATTTTAAGGACCTCCTATCCTTTGGTTCTTTATAGGGTTTTGTATGCTGACCACCTAGTCTTTAGGGTAAGAACTGAAGAAATGATCTTTTTTTTTTCTGTCGCCCAGGCTGGAGTGTAGTAGCACGATCTTGGCTCACTGCAAGCTCTGCCTCCTGGGTTCAGGCCACTCTCCCACCTCAGCCTCCCAAGTAGCTGGGACTACAGGCGCCTGCCACCACGCCCGGCTAATTTTTTTTATTTTTAGTAGAGCCTGTTAGCCAGGATGGTCTCAATCTCCTAACCTTGTGATCTGCCCGCCTTGGCCTCCCAAAGTGCTGGGATTACAAGCATGAAGGAATTATATTTCTTAAATTAATGTTTCCCTTTCATGTGTGACCGAATATTCTGCAGAAAACTCAGACATGTTCTAAATGGATTTTAATTCATGTGCCCTCATTTTTCAGATATTATTAGAGATTAATTTAACATTGAAACAGTTTGAGAATGTGAGAAGTAGTTGATATAGAGGTAGATTATATAATTCAGTGCCATTTTTCCAGAGGAAAATGACTCCTGTTTGCAGCAAAACATAGCAAATAATGTGAAGTTTCATGTTATTTAGGCATGGTGCATTATTTGCTTTTAAGCTAGGAAAAGTCAAGATGCCATCCAATTTCTCCCTTATTTCTAACTTACCCACTCATTACAGATGGATTTACTGATATTATTCTAGGTATTGTGTTATATTGTCATCTCCTTAAAAACTAAAACTCTTAATTTCTTAGCATTTCCAGACAATTTCTTTTGGAATAAAGGAGGGTACTAACTCTATTTTGGTGTTTGATAGCATTAGCTTAGTCAATATGACGTTTCCTTTAATAAATGTCTTTACATATTGTGGGTTTTTTTTTTTTTCCTGAAATCAACGTATCAGAGTGCACATTTATTTTTATTTCAGCTTATTTCAACACTACAAGCTATACGAGTTTATGTTCTTCTCTGCCAGGGAAGAAATTGTGATAGGAACTGAGGTAAGTAATTTATCTAGATGGAACCAATTAAGCAGAATCACTTAATGCATGCTGATCAGCATCTGGATCTTTAACTGCTTAAAGCAACTTCTTGTCAAGATTATTCAAGTGTTAATATAACCAACTCGTAGTTTGCAAAAAGAATAATTGTATAAAGCGATCTTTGGATTAGGAAAATAAGCTGTCTTTTGGCATTAAAAGCATTGTTAATCATTTATACTTTGTGTATTTATGGATTATTTGACAAAGTTCTATTGGATAAGGTACATATGTCTTCATAAAAATAAAATCAGAAAAACTGATAAACTAGTAATTAGCAAAAAGAATAATTATACAAAGTAAATGTAATGATAACTCAGTGAAATCCCTTCTAATTTCGCTTTTTTTTCATTCTACTCATTGTTTAAGACCTAATTTAAATCCCACTTCCTCAATGAATCAAACTTACCTTAATTGTATCATAATCCCAAACAAAAGGTTTAGACAAACTCTGTAATCAATCCTATTATTGTGTGCCAACTGATCTCTTATTGCTGAGTTTGGGCTACTATCGCACCAATAAGCATATCAATATTCACCGTGTTATATGGTTTCCTAATTGTTTCCTGTGAGTTGATATAGTCAGTGCAACTCAACAGTAATTTTCCTGAAGACAAGGATATCTGCTGCTTTTCTGCTACAGCATATAGTACAATGTTCGATACAGTAACCCCTCAATTAATACTACATAAACAATTCAGTGCCTAGGACAGCAGTTCTACAATGAAAGGTCTATCTGGAGACACTTTCAAACAGGCTTTCTTATAGTCATATATTTGTAATTCCTAGAAATGAATCCTGAGTAGGAAAACATTTTTTTTACTTTATTTTGTTTTATTTTATTTTTTATTATACTTTAAGTTCTGGGATATATGGGCAGAACGTGCAGGTTTGTTAAATAGCTATACACATGCCAGGTGGTTTGCTGCACCCGTCAACCCATCATCTACATTAGGTATTTCTCCTGATACTATCCCTCCCTTTACTCCCCACTCCCCGACAGGCCCTGGTATGTGATGTTCCCCTCCCTGTGTCCATGTGTTCTCATTGTTCAACTCCCACTTATGAGTGAGAACATGCAGTGTTTGGTTTTCTGTTTCTGTGTTAGTTTGCTGAGAATGATGGTTTCCAGCTTCATCCATGTCCCTGCAAAGGACAGGAACTCATCCTTTTTTTATGGCTATATAGTATTCTATGGTGTATATGTGCCACAGTTTCTTTATCCAATCTGTCATTGATGGGCATTTCGGTTGGTTTCAAATATTTACTACTGTGAATACTCCTGCAATAAACATGTGTGTGCATGTGTCTTTATAGTAGCATGATTTATAATTCTTTGGGTATATACCCAGTAATGGGATTGCTGGGTCAAATAGTATTTCTGGTTCTAGATCCTTGAGGAATTGCTACACTGTCTTCCACAATGGTTGAACTAATTTACACTCCCACCAACAGTGTAAAAGCATTCCTGTTTCTCCATATCCTCTCCAGCATCTGTTGTTTCCTGACTTTTTAATGATCGCCATTCTAACTGCCAAGAGATGGTATCTCATTGTGGTTTTGATTTGCATTTCTCTAATGATCAGTAATGATGAGCTTCTTTTCATATGTTTCTTGGCTACATAAATGTCTTCTTTTGAGAAGTGTCTGTTCATGTCCTTCACCCACTTTTTGACGGGGTTGTTTGTTTTTTTCTTGTAAATTTGTTTAAGTTCCTTGTAGATTCCAGGAAATCATTTTAAGGAGACTAAAGATGCCATTAAAAAATAGTGCTTCTGTAGGTCCTCAATTACTGTAGGGGGCTTTGCTGCCTCCTAGAAGTACCAGGGACAGGAGTGGCAATAATCAGAAATAAACAGTGAGTAAGGGGATATTCACATTACCTTTGTAATTTTCCTGATATTAAGAAACACATGGAACATGCCAGCTATTCTGACTTCCTGGGTATTGTTATTCTGGAATTTATAAATTACTTGCTTCATAAACACCTCAGTCACCATCCCTCACTCTTCATTTGGGTACTTGTTCTAATGCCAGCCTTTTAAAAGTGAACTGCCAGAAAACAAGGAACCCTTTTTGCTTCTGACTTTCCTAAAAATTACTTCTTTGCAGTCTCCTCATACTGTAGCTTAAATTAGGTGTCACTTGACAAAGTTTCACTGAAAAACGTTTCCATTTCAGAATTACATCATATCGTGTGACAGCCCTTGCAATAATTATCAGTTTGGAATATAATCCTATCTCATCTATTCAAGCAAAACTTTGGGGAAATGATAGTGGCTTCAGTAACAGCATAAGTAGACATTTAGAGTGATCAAGAAAAAATTTCAGAAAGAACTCCCTTTTCCTTTGTTAATTACACAATCATGCCTTTCTTCTATATTGTAAGGATATATTTAGGTGACATTTACACTATGGAAAGATAAAATGGAGAAAGTAGACAGGGATTGGCTGCTTTATTTTCCATTGTCATTTGTATTTTCCCCAGGCTGACCAGGGCAATAAAAAAAAAATCTTTAAGAGAATGATGTTGGGTCTTTAAGAATTAGGCCCCTCATGGCATTTTAAAGGATTAGTGAAAGTATTTTATGACATTTTAGAAGTGTTTGCTAACCTTTGGTACAAATATCTGTTTTTTAATTAACAACCTTTCATGGAGGAGGTAGGGGCCTGCCCCAGTAATATGATTATTCATGCTGATATCAGGGCTCTGGGACCAAATAATGGCCACAAGACAAACACACGAATGTTTGAAATTTAACTCTTAGGCAAGCATTCAAGTTAGATAACACTGATGAAATTTAGTTTCTTTAATCATGGATAGATGAGAAAAAAACATAAATCCCCTCTAATCATAGAAGTGTCCATTTCATAAGTGAGAACAGAATGATGAAATAGAATATCACCATTTGTCAACCTTTAATAAAATAATAGATCTAGGCAATGATGATGAGTAGCTCCTGACATCACAAAAAGAAAGAAAACCAGACATCACTTGCTTGTTAATAAAATTATACAAAACCCCATATAAATTGCTCTTGCAGTTTGAACTGGATAGTCTTTTAGTCGGTCTTCTAACACTAACTTCCCATTTACTGGAAATATGGAAGATAAAGGAATATGTTAAGGATATCACAAAAAGGCAATTAGCAAACCAGGGTATAGGAGATTCTATAGGACAGAAGACATGGAATATTCAACAAATAAATATTCAAAGAAATAACAAAAACATAAAAGGTGAACCTGTGGGTTAAAAAAATGACTGAATCAAATTCAATGTAGGTATCTTATTTGGATCCTACTTCAAACAGACAGATAGACAAGCCAAACCACAAACACAAAACAGTTATGAGACCATCGAAGCATTTGAATATTGGCCACATAGTTGATGATGACTATTACTAATTCCTGGAACTTGTTAGTGTATTCCTTTACATGGTAAAAGGGACTTTGCAGATTTGATTAAGTTTATGAATTTGAGATGGAGCGATTATTCTAGATTACTGAAGTGGGATCAATGTAATCTCCATGTAAGAGAAAGAGAAAGACAGGAGGGTCAGAGTCAGAAAAAGGGAGATTTGAAGATGTCACACTGTTGGCCTGGAAGTTGGAGGAAGAGGCCACAACTTTATCAACTGTCTTGTCACCTCCTTCTCATAGTTCTTTTTAATCCTTAATTATTATTGTTCATTTTTCTTAAATATGAAATTTAGAAATAAACCTGTGCATATGTGGATTTTTAGTATGTGGCATATACAAATATTTAATAAATTGGCATGCAAAGTTACTTGGGATAATTGGCTATGTGTTTGTTAAAAACAAATTAGATTTTTACCTTATACCAAACTTAAAACTAAATCCAATTTATTAAGAGGTTCATTTCCCGTAATGGAAGACATATTCCTTAATGGCAAACTATAATTTGGTCAACACTTCCACTGAGAACAACTGGAAAAACTGGACAAGATTGTTTTAAGACTTAAATATTTGAAAGCTCAGCTAGCAAGCTCAAAAAAGATTATGAGCCTGACAGTCACAAATGCTTTCTACCTATAGGCATCTACAAGTTTGGAAAAGGTGGCTCAGAAACTTAAAAGCTGAGAAGTGAAGCTTTGGTAGACACATGGAGCTAGGAGAACAAAAATTGGAGGGGGAAGAGAATATAGCAAATTTTACAAGTAGCATGTTGGGTCTGCACAAGACCACATTTTAGGACATCAGCCCTAACTACCATGGACTGAACTTCAATTCCAAATTTTCTCCATTTCTGGTGGATTCAGGTTAGCTGTGTATAGTGTTGTTAACTTCCTCTGTAAAATAAAATCATGCTACACTCCAGATTGTATCAACAGTTTTTCATAACCAATGTCTGTTACATAATAAAAATCACACAGAAAACAAAAATAGACCACAAGTGTTCCAGATGATGGAGTAATTGGTCATGTACTTGAAAATAATTATCCTTAAGAAATATTCTAAAAAATATTCTTGAAAATAAAATATATAAATTTTAGCAGATAAAAATGATCACAATATTAAATGGAAGTTCTGAAATAGAAAAATACAATAAAAATTCAAAACCAAGTGGATGTGTTTAACAAGTTAGTCCATAGCTGAAGAGAAAAATTGGTAAACTGGAAGATAAATCAAAAGAAAAAATCTGAAATAAAGCATGGGGATGCAAAAGCATGGTAAACACAGAAAATGGATGAGAGAGTATGGATATAGTAAAAGGTATAACGAGAGAACAAAAGTCAATTCTAGAATGAGAATATAGAAGTCATATGTGAAGAGTTAATTTTCCAGAACTAGTCAACACCATTAGGACACAGATTTAGGATTTACTTGAACTTCAAATACATGTCAATCCCCACCTAAGCATATTATAGTAAAATTTCTAAAAACGAAAGATGAAGACAATCTTAAAACCGGCCATAGAAAACAAAAGACATATGTCCTTC